ATTAAACCAATCTACTTATCAAATAAGTAGTTGGGAAAATAGTGAAGCTTGAGAGAAGTGATTGATCCTTTGGTATTTGGTGTAGATCTCAGAATTGGTGAATTCAATAATGTTTAGCAAGTCTGGGCCAAAAAATTAGCAAGGGCAGATAGAAAATCATTGCTTAAACTTTACACATTCTTCCTGGTTTGACCAAAAGTTCACCAAAGGTTCCCTTCCCCTTATAAATCCATCTGTTATCTAATCTTAAATTGTTGGCAGTTACACTTCTTTATTATATAAGGATTATCTATACTGTTCTTTTTAAAGTCTGAATCATGGCTGGGCATGGTGGCTGATGCCTGTAATCCTAACACTCTGGAAGGCTGAGGAGAGGCAGGTGGATCTCGTGAGCTCAGGAGTTTGAGACAAGCCTAAGCAAGAGTGAGGCCCTGTCTCTACTAAAAATGGAAAAACTAGCCAGGCATTATGGCCAGCCTATAGTTTCATCTACTTAGGAGAATGAGGCAAGAGTTTGAGGTGCTCAAACGCAAGAGCAACTTGACTTGCTTCAACTCAAAGAGTTTGAGTTGCTGTGAGCTATGGTGCCATGGCAGTCAACCCAGAAAACAAAGTTTGAAATCATTAGCTGGTTCTTAAAGGAAACTTGAATTGCTTTTATTGTCTTCCCCAGATTCCCTTCTTTCTCTCAATCCCATTAAAAAAAAAAAAAAGAAGAAGAAACAAGAGTAATTCCAGAGCAGGGTTTTTAAAAATTTTATTTTTGTTTTTATAGTCCACCAGTTTTATTACCTACTAGTTCAAGATAGTTTTTGAAAACATCGTATCTAAATTAAAGCCACATATCACCCTTTTCTGAATTCTGTATTAGTAGTCAGAGGCATTGTGTTATTCTTGACTCCATGAAATGGCACTTCTTAGTTTATTTTCCATAATTAGGGCCAAGCCTTCTAATACCAGTTATGAACTGCATAAACATATCATTTTCTAAAAGCTCAATAATGAAGGGAAATCAATTGTAGTGAAACTTGATCAGATAAATTTTTCCCTAACCACTAAACTACAGGGAATTCAAGTGATTCTTAAGTGAAAGAATTAGATGTTTTAATAGCTTCCTATGAACTATCTTCCAGAACCAAAAACTTATGCTAGAAAATCAGCTTTTAAGAGAGAAAACTCATGGCCTTGTAGTTGAGAACCAGGAGTTAAGACAGCGCTTGGGAATGGATGCCCTGGTTACTGAAGAGGAGACAGAAACCAAGGTAAATCATCTCTTTTATGTGGTGCTGCATGTGAGAACTGCTTCCAAGTGACATGACCCATGATTATTTTTACAGACTTGGACTTCTTTTTATTTTTATTTCAAACTAATATGAGGGTACAAATGATTAGGTTACAATGTTTGCATTTGTTAGGGAAGGTCCCTGTTATAGTTGCCTCCTGCACCCAGCAGGTGTGCCATACCCTTACATTATGCCCATTAGGTGGGAGCACACAAGTCCTCCTACCCCCATCTTTCCCTCCTCCTCCCTCAGATGTGGATTTCTGATCAAAAGTCTTGTAGTGAATAATACTAAGTTATGATAATTAAAACAAGTTCTGGGCACCAGCCCCATATACTGAGTGGGGGGGGCCTCGAATCCAGCCATGGCCAAATTGCAAAAAAAATAGCCGGGTGTTATGGCGGGCGCCTGTAGTCCCAGCTATTCTGGAGGCTGACCCAAGAGAATCGCCTAAGCCCAAGAGCTGGAGGTTGCTGTGAGCTGTGATGTCACAGCACTCTACCAAGGGAGATAAAGTCAAACTCTGTCTCTTAAAAAAAAAAAAAAAAGTTCCATGGTTAAATGCCACTAGTCAACAAGATGTATAATGTAAGCATCAAGGAAAACAAGACTAAGAAAGCCAGTCAAATCAGAGTTTGCTACTAAAATTATAGTAGTCCTTTGATGAATATGAATAAGGAATAATTCATTGTGATAGTGATACTTCTCTGATAATAGAAGGGTGATACATTGATTTGATACTATGCATTGTAGCAAATTCAATGACAACACATAAGTGGTCTAAGATTAACAATAGGGTAGTTTTATTCTGTGAAGGTAATATTCAGGAAGAATTCAGAAAGATTCTAGGCCTAAATAGTTATACAACTTTATCACTTATGAACATTATTGAGAATATAATTATTATTTGTCAGTTCTGCCTGAACCTTTGCTTGGGAAAAAAAAAAATGTTTCATTTGCATAGAAAATCACAACTTAGTAGTCTTACTCCCCTTTTTTCATCCTTTGAAGACTTAAGAAAATGGAATTTAAAATGGCTGTAAATTTCTGCATGTTTAAATTTTAAAAAGTGGCTCTAAAGTTTTAAATAGTTTTCTATTTAAAGTTGAGAATCATGGCTGTCTGGCAGGCATCCCTGGGGTCTTGCAGCTTTGATATTCCCACTTTGATATTTCCTCCCAGGGGAATGGAGTGAGGCCAGTGGCCGGGTCTGCTGAGTCCGCAGCACTCAGACTACGTGCACCTCTGCAGCAGGTGCAGGCCCAGTTGTCACCCCTCCAGAACATCTCCCCATGGATTCTGATGGTGTTGACTCTTCAGACTCAGAGGTAAGAATCATTTTGACTTATTAAAGAGCTATACATATAACAACTTACTTCCATCTATTTGATGCCTGACATCTCTAACCAGACAGGTGAAGGCAGAAGTTAATTTTCGTGTGATTAGAATGTTGACTATCTCTCCAGGTGATTTAGGACGTGGAATGAGGTGGAGACAAGTGGGTCTCTGGATTATGAGGCCATCTTATAGCATAATGCTTGAATTTCATTATGGAACCTAGTATTAAGGGTTCTAGGTAGATTCTCAAGTGTATCCTTTTGATTTATTTATTGAGAGTATCTCAACTCTGTTGCCCAGGCTAGAGTACAGTAGCATCATCATAGCTCACTGCAACATTACATGCCTGCGCTCAAGCCATCCTCTAGTTTCAACTTCTTGAGTACAGATGGGCACCACTATGCCTGGCTAATTTTTCTTCTTAACTTTTGTAGCCATAGGGTCTTGCTATATTGCTAAGGTTGGTCTTGAACTCCCGGCCTCAATCTTCTCTCCTTAAGTGCTAGGATTATAGGTGTGAACTACCACACCCAGACTTCCAAATGTATTTTTTTTTTTTTTTGAGACAGAGTCTCACCATGTTGCCCTCAGTAGAGTGCTGTGCCACCACAGCTTACAGTAACCTCAAACTCTTGGGCTTAAACGATTGGCTTGCCTCCGCCTCCCGAGTAACTGGGACTACAGGAGCCCACCACAATGCCCAGCTATTTTTTTGTTATAGTTGTCACTGTTGATTAGCAGGCCCAGGCCAGGTCCGAACCCACCAGCACTGGTGTATGTGGCTGGTGCCCTAACCACTGAGCTACAGGTGCCAAGGCTCAAATGTATTAACTAATAGTTGTCCTCCATTTTATTTTTGCCTCTTGTAGTCTGATATCCTGTTGGGCATTCTGGACAACCTGGACCCAGTCATGTTCTTCAAATGTCCTTCCCCAGAGTCTACCAGCCTGGAGGAGCTCCCAGAGGTCTACCCAGAAGGACCCAGTTCCTTACCAGCCTCCCTTTCTCTGTCAATGGGGACGTCATCAGCCAAGCTGGAAGCCATTAATGAACTAATTCGTTTTGACCACATATATACCAAGCCCTTAGTCTTAGAGATACCCTCTGAGACAGAGAGCCAAGCTAATGTGGTAGTGAAAATCGAGGAAGCACCTCCTACCCCCTCAGAGAATGATCACCCTGAATTGATTGTCTCAGTGAAGGAAGAACCTGTAGAAGATGACTTCATTCCAGAGCTGGGTATCTCAAATCTACTTTCATCCAGCCACTGCCTGAAGCCATCTTCCTGCCTACTGGATGCTTATAGTGACTGTGGATATGAGGGCTCCCCTTCCCCCTTCAGTGACATGTCCTCTCCGCTTGGTATAAACCATTCTTGGGAGGACACTTTTGCCAATGAACTCTTTCCCCAGCTGATTAGTGTTTAAGGAATGATCCAGTACTGTTGCTCTTTTTCTTTACTATTACACTGCCAGGAGGTGAGCAGAGAAGCCCATTTGTGCTTCATTCAAAAAGCCAAAGTAGAGTCCAGTCCTAGAGCTTTCTGCTGAAGTATTTGCTCAAACTTTACAGAGGATCTCAAGTATTGTCTTTTGTTCAAACTTTACAGATGACCCCAAGTATTGTCTTTTGACATCTGCCAGTACAGAGTATTCAGACATACTATTATAAATGAGCTATAGCTTTTGAAGTTGTACCTTTAAGGGTGGTACTTTGCCCTTAAGTACTTATGTAAGGGTCATTGCACAAGTGTCTGAAAGTAAACGTAGAATTTATGAAGGACCCTTTATCATTTCTCTTCCCCTTCTTGGCATCCCAGGCTTGCCTCCAATTTTAGGTCCTTTAGTTTGCTACAGCAAGCAGAGAGAACACCTGAGGGGGGGCTCTTCTTCCCTCATGTCCAGTTCAAGTAAAGATTAAGAATCTTTTGTAAAATTATGGAAATTTACTATGTAAATGCTTGATGGAATCTTTTCCTGCTAGTGTATCTTCTGAAGGTGCTTTCTCCATTTATTTAAAACTACCCATGCAATTAAAAAGTGCAATGCAACATTCTTGTTCTTTGATTTCTTCTAGGGCCATGAATCTTATTTTCTCTCTCAGCGGTTCTCAACCTGTGGGTCACAACCCCTTTGTAACAATGACAATACATTGCGGCATTGGGAAGGTTGAGAACCACTGCTCTAGATGTTTGAGTTTGCTTTGGAAGTAATTTACCCAACTAAAGTGAGCATGCCACAGTTTTTTCCTTTTTTGAGTATGCCACTTTTTTTTTGAGACTGTCACTTTGTCACGTTGGGTAGAGTGACCTGGTGTCAGAGTTCACAGCAACTTCAAACTCTGGGGCTTAAGTGAGCCTCTTGCCTCAGCTATCCAGAGTAGCTGGAACTATAGGCTCCAGCCACAACACTTAAAAAAAAAAGGTTTTCTTTTAGTGAAAAAAAATTTTTTTGGCTCCATGCCTATAGCTCAGTGGCTATGGTGCCAGCCACATACATCAGAGCACCAGAGCGGGCAGGTTCGAATTCAGTCTGGGCCAACTACAACCAAAAATAGCTGGGCATTGTGGCAGGTGCCTGTAGTCCCAGCTACTTGGGAGGCTGAGGCAAGAGAATGGCTTAAGCCCAAGAGTTTGAGGTTGCTGTGAGCTGTGATGCCATAGCACTCTACTGAGGTCTACATACTGAGACTCTGTCTCAAAAAAAAAAAAAAATTTTTTTTAGTAGAAAAGGGGTCTTGCTTTTACTCAGGCTGATCGAACTCAATTTACTTGACTTGGCCTCCCAGAGTGCCAGGATTACAGGTGTGAATCACCATGCCCAGCCAAGCATGCCAAAAGTGGCTGAAGGCTTTTCCACTTTAATTACTGCCTGCCATAAGTGATATAATCTACAGTTTCAGTAACAATTATCTTTCTGAGACAATTTCTTTAGCAAAATTGGCTAGTACACACCACAACCATTAAATGGCAGAATCAGAACCTTAACCCTTTTGCTACGCCATGTTATGTTTAAAGATGTGACATCAAGAATTTCTTAGGCTCAGTGCCTGTGGCTAAGGCACCAGCCACGTACACCTAAGGTGGTGGGTTCGAATCCAGCCTGGCCCACCAAAACAATGACAGCTGCAACCAAAAAAAAAAAAAATAGCTGGGTGTTGTGGCGGGCACCTGTGGTCCCAGCTACTTGGGAGGCTGAGGCAGGAGATTCGCTTGAGTCCAGGAGTTGGAGGTTGATGTGAACTGTGATGTCATAGCACTCTACCCGGGGGGGATAGCTTGAGGCTCTGTCTCAAACAAAAAAACCCCCAGAGGCTAGTGGATTGCCAATTTAGCATTTAAATGGTATGTTCCAAATTTACTAACACCACTTGTGCAGAAGTCAAAGTGAATGAGTAGACAAAAGGGGGCAGGATTCAGAGAACTGCAAGCAGCAAGGCAAAACCGGCTATAGTTTCAGCCAAGGTAAGGAAATGAGCTTGGTGTGGTCAGGTATGCCCATAAGCATACTTAAAGGTAAGCAGCCTCAGACCTGGTCACTGAAGCCAGAGCCCAATTCTAGTACTCAGCAATCCAAGCTTGCTTAGGCTCTGGGTTTCTGTACTGTAAATGTAAAGACCATCTTCAGCTGTCCCCAAGAGTGAAACCTTATTTCACCTGATTGTAACTGAAAATTTAAGTGCGAAGAATCCATTTAGGAATTATATGAACAAAGGTAAATGCCCATTAGCCTTTATCATAACAGCATAAGCATCCGAAAGCTGAAGCTCACATCATTTACATTGAATGACATCACATGAAAGCAGCAGCTGTACTAACAAGACAAGACATATGTAGCCTGTGTAAATTATCAGGGTTTTCATTTCCTGCACAGATGGATGAAAATTACTAAGCACTGTGCCCAGCCTTGAGAAAACACCTGGTATTCAGTGAACTGTTAGGAGAAAACACCTGGTATTCAGTGAAATGTTAGGACTAAAAATTGAGATCTTCCTGCAAAACCAAGGGAAGATTTCCATTATAGCAAGCTGTCTCATAATTGTTATTAAAGATGCAGGTGACAAGATGCCTGCACACCATTTCCCTGGGTCTTTAACATCAATCTATACCTGCCTCCTTGCTTTTCTACTAAATATGCTACTGGACCGGAAACAAAATAGGAACTGAACTCTAGGCAGAAGATAATACTGCCCACTCCAAGGATCATTTTAAGGCCTCAAATTCTTGCCTCCAAAGAATTCAATCTTTAGTCTTGTGGCTTCTAAAGTTCATCAAGGAGGCTCGGCGCCTGTGGCTCAAGTGGCTAAGGCGCCGGCCACATACACCCAAGGTGGCGGGTTCGAGTCCAGTCCGGGCCTGCCAAACAACAATGACATACAACCAAAAAATAGCCGGGCGTTGTGGCGGGTGCCTGTGGTCCCAGCTACTTGAGAGGCTGAGGCAGGAGACTAGCTTAAGCCCAGGAGTGGGAGGTTGCTGTGAGCTGAGATATCACAGCACTCTACCCAGGGGGACAGCTTGAGGCTCCTGTCTCAAAAAAAAAAAAAAAGTTCATCAAGGAAGAGGAAGACTGGTTTACCACCAGCTGCTGAGACAGTATCACAACACTGTCTTGCTGGAGCTGTAGTCTGAACAAGATTCTAATTTCATTTACCTTATCTCTCAATTACCACTTGGTAGTCAGAAGAACCAGGAAATTAACAGAAATAGAAGATCTGAACCAAACTGATACATAATGAATACACTAAACTATTTTCCTCCAAAGAGTTTAATGTTACACTGCCTGAACTATACTTTAGATCAGTGGTTCTCAACTTTCCTAATGCCGCAATGTATTTTCATTGTTACAAAGGGGTCGTGACCCACAGGCTGAGAACCACTGCTTTAGATTATTTCAATGAAATCTAAATATAGTAACATCTAGGTCAGGTATGGTGGTTCATACCTATAATTCTAGCACTGTAAGAGGGTAAGACCAGAGGATTATAAAGACAGGAGTTTGAGACCAACCTGGGCTACACAGTATAACTTTATCTCTACAAAAAAAAAAAAAAAAAAATGAGCCAAGCATGATGGTATACACTTGTAGTCCTACCAATTTGGGAAGCAGAGGTGGGAAGATAACTTGAGCTCAGGAATTTGAGGTTACAGTGAGCTATGATCAGGCTACTGTACTCTAGCTGGGGACAGACAAGACCCTATCCCAAAAGGAAAAAAAAAAAAAGACAACATGTTAGGTATTGCTGCAAAAAAGACTCTAAAAACTAACTGGTCAAGTGGAAAGAACACTGGACCTCATGAGTTGTATACTGCTTGGGCTATCTACTTGGGTTTTAGTTTCCAAACCTATAAAATAGATAAATTAGATAAATTTTAGCTATGATTTCCAAATTCTGATTAAAAACAATATCCTGTGCCTCGGTGCCAGCCACATACACTGAGGCTGGCGGGTTCAAATCTAGTCTGGGCCTGCTAAAAGAACAATGACAACTACAACAAATAAAATAGCTGGGAGTTGTGGCGGGTGCCTGTAGTCCCAGCTACTTGAGAGGCTGAGGCAAGAGAATGGCTTAAGCCCAAGAGTTGGAGGTTGCTCTGAGTTGTGATGCCAGGGCACTCTACCATGAGGGTGACACAGTGAGACACTGTCTCAAAACAAAACAAAATCCTGTGTGTTCTATTACTCCCCCTGCCAAACAAAATCAGGGATGCATATTTGTCAAAGAATAGTTGTAAATATGCAGACAATACTGCCACCCAGTGACCTGTCAACTATTAGAAAGGAATAACCATATAACATCATTGAGCTGTCTATTCCAATAGCTAGTTCAATTATGAAACTTAGCTTTAGCTCAACATAATCATCCCTTCAGGATAAATTTAAGTCCCTCACTGATATGAATGCTGCTTCAATTACAATTTAGAGAAAAGCAAGCAGACATCTGTTTTCATTTACTTACATGAAGAAATACAAATACCTCAAAAAGTGTAAAACACTTAAGTTTTATTGAAAACGATAAAATACAGAAACACCAGATTCTCATTATAAAGTAAAACAGCATCTGAAAGAACTTCCTAGTACTGAACCACTCTTTGTCACTACTGAAAAACAAAGCCAAGTTCCAGATCCAAAATAACAAATGAACCTGCTGGTAAACATTCTTCTCATGGTTCTAGCCCCAACCTTATTTTTCTAGTATTACATTTGTACCTTTTTAAGAATGAATAGCAGTTTTAATTGATTAATATGTTTGTTAGAACTGGACTTTCTTCACATTAATTTCAAAACAAAACAAAACCCCCAAAACAAAAACCACACACACTACTCAAACTCATAAAATATACATTTGTTCTTTAAAGCTCACCTGCTTTAGATAATTTTTTCTCCTCGACACATTAGCATAGTAAGCCAATGTTTGATCCATGCTGCAAAAGCTAAACCAAATGAAAAGCCCTGTTTATTCCCTAGGGAAACCTTAAGGCAAAAGCACAGCCTTATGCTACAAAAGAAAAACAAAAAGCAGAGGCAGTGGGACTGTGGAGTCGGCTCAGATGAATAAGCACCACAAGGATCAAGAAGACAATTTCTGTACAAACATATGCAAAAAGATAAGGTCCAAAAAGAAACATTAAACACCCATTTTCCTGCAGAAATAATCATATCAGATAACTTGACTTCTGAAACAAATTCTGTTTGGATTTTAATTAACAGAATCTCAATTCTCCCCTATATTTACCAATAGTATCAGAGTCTTGTTTGGGGGCTCTTCTTTCCTCCTTTTCATTATAGACCTTTAATCAGAGGCCTGCCCAGGAATCTCTTTAGAAGACAATCTTGACATGTTTTCGCTCCATCTTTGGAAAGCTGTCATCTCTCTTTTCACTTTACTAACTCAAACTCCAGGCAAGTCACTTCAAGTTTTTCAGTTGTACTAGAACAACTTTTTTAGCACAGAGATTTCTTTAAGGCTACAAACTTTACAAGTTGGTCCCATTAAACAATGACCTCAAGGCAGGAGTTTTTCAAACTGCATGAATCAAACACTTGCACATTTCAACAGAATACAGTTTACATTCATCTCTAAGACTGAGATTAAGAAACTATTAGCTGGTTTCCAACTGGTTTCAATACTGTTTTGAAGTTTGAATAATTTTACTGTGTATACATTAAATATTTTGTTTAAATATTAAACATTAAATCTTTTCCTGACTATCCAGACAGAAACAGAGAAAGCAGAACAACAGGCAAGAGAAGAAACAAGTCAAATTAACAGACTTGTGACTTCTATGCCATCTGTAACAAGGGGAGAGATTTCAGTATGGGTTTCAAAAATGCCTGGAAGCTGGTTTCTAAGAATTCGCCTCTACTTAGCATAAACCATTTTTTTTTCTACAAAGATATTTGATTCCTACAAAGAGAGAAAAACCCAAAAAACAAAACAAAAAGGACTGGGGTGGTTTCCTGTTGTGTAACGGAAGGACCAATATTATACTATTACACTCACTTAATAACTTATAGTGAATATTCCGTAGCAATAAAGGAATTGTCATTTTACTTTGTACTGTGAGTCCTTGATACACAGAAGAGCTCTTCCTGAGAAATTAAAAAATTCAATGCTGGTTATCCCTAAAGGACACCTCAAGCCCAGTTTAGGTACTTAAGATGATTTCCTGCTAGCAGAAATCTATTCACTAACTTTGAGGCTTACTGCACAATAGTTTAAGCACCGGACAAATTGGCTATTTCAGTAAACCCCAATGTCACTTGCCCACATATTCTCAGTTAATTATTCATTCACTGTTTTCTAAAATATCATTTAAAGTTCAACTTGCTAATTATAACTTTTTAAAAAAAACTACAGAAATTATCAATGTTGGGTTTAGCTGAAAAGCACTTTCTTAGGTTTAACTAAAGGATGCTTCTTCCAGAGGCAATTTGCAAAGGGGTTACCTCATAATCTTTTTAACTATCACTCAAAGTTAATTAAGTTGTAAACTTTGCTGAATAATTGGGCTTATCAATTATGCAAAGGAAACCAAGGAATAACAGTAACACAAGGCAAAGAAGCCTTGAAGAAAAAAACCTTTCCTTTGCATTTTCATTGCATTTTCAGAGGCAAAGAGGATATACAATGCTACTGGTTACTTACTCAACACAGCTATAAAGAACTGACAATTTATAATCTGTTAAACTTCTTAGCAACAAGCTTAAGCTACTGCTTTTCTTCCCTCCTCCTCCTCCTATGTCCTCACCTTGCTCGTATCTACAGACTGAGGTGTGTCTGATTAAGATACTTGAGAACATTCTGCAAATATCTGAATTGTTCAGACAACAGAGACAGGTAACTTCAGTTACTCTTACACAGTTTCTATACTTGCCTGCGAAGGGAGTGTCATCCAAATTCCCCTTAAAAAGCTCCAAAGAAAACTGTTTTTTCCTTGAAACAAACTTCCTTGGCAAAGAGTTGAATGCAATAAATGGCTACCCAAAATGAGAGTCCCACCCTGAATCACAGGTGGAGATATTATTACACCCGTTTCGTAAAACTTTCAAGTCCCTAAACTATGCAAGTAGGCTCATGACTGAACACAGGAATCTTCTAAAATTTGACAACTTTAGAGTAGAAAATGGTTTCTAGAGTTCCATCTCTTCTTCTGTACTAGCAGCTGTCTCCAAACTATGGTAAAGAGGCATCCCTGTTTGCTGAGGTTCTAAGAACAGTTCAGTTCTGTGAGGAAAGGCAGTGCCAAGAGCTGCATGTTTAGTTTGGCTCTCTCCTGTGTAGTTCTTAGCATTAGATGATGGCTTTGGCTTATCAGAAAGGAGTTCAGGAAGAGGTTTCCAGAGCACAAGCTCCATGGAAGGACGGCTCCTGAGACACAAAATACAGATTTACATAAAAAAACCTTAGGACATAGAAATTAAAGCTGTTACATTGAAAAGCGAATGTTTTGCTACCTAATATCAAGAACTGATGGCATCAAAACAGTTTGGATTTCAAATAACCCCAAATGGTCTTTACAAAGGCCACCCAAATACATAAAAATCACAGAGTTCTGCATGCATTTTTAACCAAACCAACTGGATATACTGTTGCTAAGATTAGAAGTAATCTAAACATTCAATATCAAATAAGCCTTGATTTAATTGTTAGGATTTTTCTTTTCTCTTAACATTAGCAGATATGAGCAGCTACCTTGTACTAAATCACTATAAATGAAAGTAAATCACTGGACAAATATATTTGCTTTGCAGTTAAGGTATAATGACTATGTTGATGGTTTCTGGGACCCAGAGGCAAGTCAGGCAAAAATAAAACACAGTGAAGAATACTCCCAGAGGCTTGTTTTTGGAATGCTATCAAGAGCAAAAACTGTTTTCAGCTGCAGGGTAGTATGACCTGCTTACTTTTGGCTAAACTATTCACCCACCCTCAGGGCTGGGTAGTTAATTATAAGCTCAACCTAGGATGCTAAAGCAAAACCTCTGTGAGCTAACACCAGGCAGCTGAACTTCCCAGCACAAATCACTTCCACTGTGTCTAAAAGCAATAATGCCCCCTTTGCCTGACTTCACTATGACAGGTGTCCTAAGAGGCTTTTTCAGATATCTGAAACTTTCCCTCATTGAGTACCAAGTCTTTCTAAAGTCTTTTCTAGCCAATACCTAAATGGTACACTGTAACTTGCCTATAATATATAGCAGATAATGATGACTGGCTCAGGGACTACACAATTACAGAGCTAATCATTAGTTCCTCAATTAATGGACCCCAAGCCACTAGGTGCTTTTTAGATTCTTGTGTTTGTTCCAGTTTCCTCTCTTGTCCTCATATTGTAGTCACAACTCCCTATAGGGGGTTTTGTTTGTTCTGTTCTCAGTAGATGTTTCTGTTTCTTTTTTTTTTTTTTTTTGAGACAGAGCCTCAGGCTGTCCCCCTGGGTAGAGTGCCGTGGCATTACAGCTCACAGCAACCTCCAACTCCTGGGCTCAAGCGAGTCTCCTGCCTCCACCTCCCAGGTAGCTGGGACCACAGGCGTCTGCCACAACGCCTGGCTATTTTTTTGGTTGCAGCCGTCATTGTTGTTTGGCGGGTCCGGGCTGGGGATTCGAACCCGCCACCTTAGGTGTACGTGGCTGGCGCCTTAGCCGGTTGAGCTATAGGCGCCGAGCCGATGTTTCTGTTTCTACTCTGATGATTTGGAAACCAGATAATTGAGCTTATTAAGCTGTGTTTAAGAGCAAAATAGCTCTGCTAAAGGCCGCAAGGTACTATGCTATGAACCAAGAATATGATCTTACTGCTAGGATATATATATATATATATAATATATATATATATTTTTTGATTGATTCCTAAAAGTCTCAAAGGTATCTGGATAATTTAAAGAGCCAGGTAAAAAAGGGACACTGAAATGTCGTTCCTATATCCCATCACAAGAATTTGAGAGAGTGGCTTTCTTGCCAGTCATCCCAATTCCAAATACTAAACTAAAGTGCATTTTTGGACCTTAGAACCAAGGGGTAAGTAGGTAAGGAACCACTCCTGCATATTTCAAACTCCTCTGCTTGCAAGCATTTTGCTCATCTCCAATGAACTAACCAAACGTCTCTCTAACCTGAACTAAATATAAAATCTACTGTGATTCTGCCTGCCTGATGATCAGGAGATGAAGAGCTTAACAGGATGGACAGTGTCTAGACCAGTGTTTTTCAACCTTTATCTCATGGCACACTTGAACCTATGGTTAAATTTGTGCAGCATGTTTAAATTATCTTGATCCAAAAAAAGAGTAGCTCGGTGCCTATAGCTCAGCAGCTAGGGTGCCAGCCACATACACTGAGGCCTGCCAAACAACGACAACTACAATAAAAAAAAATAACCGGGCATTGTGGCAGGTGCCTATAGTCCCAGCTACCTCGGAGGTTGAGGCAAGAGAATCAAATTGCTTAAGCCCAAGAGTTTGAAGTTGCCATGAGCTGTGACATCACAGCACTCTACCAAGGGTACATAGTGACACTCTGTCTCAAAAAAAAAAAAAAAAGTAAAAAAAAAAAAATATTTTTGCTATACTTTGAACTCCTTTCAAAAATAATTTAATTATCTTTAAAAATTTTGAGGACAAGCCTGGCATTATGGTAGGTACCCGTAGTTCCAGTGACTTGGGAGGATGAGGCAAGAAAATCACTTAAGCCCAAAAGTTTTAAGTAGACACCACAGCACTCTACTGAGAGTGATGTGAGACTCAATTTTTTTTTTTTTTTTTTTTTCAGGACAGGCTGGGCATGTAGCTCTTGCCTGTAATCCCAGCACTTGGGAGGCTGAGATGGGTAGATGGCCTGAGCTCACAGGTTCAAGACTAGCCTGAGCCAGAATGAGACCTCATCTCTAAAAAAAAACAGCCAGGTGTTGTGGCAGACGCCTGTAGTCCCAGTTACTTGGGAGGCTGAGGCAAGAGAATTGCTTAAGCCCAGGAGTTTGAGATTGCTGTATGCTATGATGCCACAGTGCTCTACCCAAGGTGACAAAGTGAGACTTTGTCTAAAAAAAAAAAAAAAATAAATTTTATTTCCAGGACACACCTAAGATCTTCTCATAGCACACTAGTTGAGTATCACTGGTATAGACTCTCCAAGATCATAATTAAGGAGAAACTCCAAGCACCAAAACTTACATGGACTCAATCATTTTCTTTGTAAAGACTTCATCAAATTCCCTATTCAAACCAGTTTTCATAGTATCAGAAAGGACAAGACTGGGCAGATGATTAACATTTCTGTCAGCTTCAACTTCTTCATCTTCGTCAATTATCCTAAATAAATTAAGGTAGCAGATGCAGAGAAAGAAAAAATATTTAAGCCAAGCTACTATACATTCTAGTAATTGGGCATTTTTTTTTTTTTTTTTGAAACCAAGTCTCCCTATGTTGCCCTCACTACAGTGCCATGGCATCACAGTTCACAGCAACCTCCAACTCTTGGGCTTAAGTGAGTCTCTTGCCTCAGCTTCTTGAGTAGTTGGGACTACAGGCGCCCACCACAACGCCCGGCTATTTTTTGGGGGATGCAGTTGTCATTGTCGTTCAGCATGCCTGGGCCAGGCTCGAACCCACCAGCCTTGGTGTATATAGCCAGCAGCCTAATCAGCTGAGCTATGGGTGCCGAGTGGTGGACAACATTTTAAAAATAAAAAAGGATGGCTCAGCGCCTATAGCTCAGCTGCTAGGGCACCGGCCACATATACCCAGGCCAGTGGGTTTGAACCTGGCCCAGGCCTACCAAACAACAATGACTGACTGCAACAAAAAAATAGCCAGACATTATGGCAGGCACCTGTAGTCCTAGCTACTTGGGAGATTGAACCAAGAGAATCAAATCATGTAAGCCCAAGAGTTTGAGGTTGCTGTGAGCTGTGATGCCTTATCACTCTACTAAAGCCAACAGAGTGAGACTCTGTCTCAAAAAGAATAAATAAATAAAAATCAAAAAGGATACAAGCAATAGGTTCTATAGCAAAAGACCAAGTAATAATACCTGTTCAAAATTTAACAAAATGTTTTATATCTAATGCAATCAAATTTGAAGAATATGTCCCAGAAAATTAATAAACCAAGAATATTCAGGGTAGTAAGTGAAAATGCTTAGTACAGTTCTATGACAATGCACTTTAATTTTTTTCTTTTTTTTTAATTCCAGAAAGAGTTACAAGATGATGAGAGAACTAACTTTAAAATTGTACACTCTGAATTCCCTGATTTTGAAAGTCTGAGAGATTGAACATCAAGGCATTATGTTATCGAATGATGAATTAAGACTAGCTTAAGAGTAGATTCTCCAGAGAGAAAGAAAAAAGGGGAGGGGAAAGACAAGAGATAGAAGAGACATTACATAGACATTACATAGGAACAACAACAACCCAGCTACACACACTGGCCATTTACCTGTCCTCAATCTCCTGAAGCCGCCTTCGGGCAGCTTCACACTGTGGTTCTCCAGTCGTCTGATCCATTTCTTCACAAATAACATCTAACATTCCAGGTACAGAAAGGCCACCAGTACATGGATTTACTCTATGACCCTCTACACCCTGATGTGCACAAAGAATCCAGTCATTAGGACCAGCACAGAGCTCTGCTTCAATTAGCCTTTTTTTTCTTACTGGACAACTGAAAAATAAAAAATTAAAAAGAAAGGAAATTCAATAAAAACTCCAACTTAAATAAATGAAATATATAAGGTGGCCTGTATATCTGTATACTCTGTATATCATCTCTACCTCTAATCAAATTTTTCTATGAAAAATTCTAAGCTTTTTGACAGCGTAATTCCAAGATGCAAAATCATCCATTTTTTCCCCTATTATTCTCACAGATTTTTTTTTTTTTTTTTGGAGACAGA